GGCAAAGGGGAGTTAGTCATTCTGCTCACCACTGAGCACTTGATGTGTTAGAATTGTATCTCATACATAGTAGGCATTTAAATATTTACTGACTAAATGAACACTGTTGAGCTTGAAAAATAAATTGCAGAAGAATAGGTAACATTGGCTAAAGCTTATATAGCGTTTATTATACATCAGGTGGTATTCTAAGAGCTTTACATATACTGTATCATTTATACTAATGATGGATTGTTCATCATAACACATGATAGTTTTTTCTGGTATTTATAAACTCCTGCCATCAATAACGGCTTACTCATATCCAATAGCTCCCACTGCAATTTTAGTCCACTTCCTGTTACTCTACAGATATGGAGAACAGATGGTCAACATGCTTCTTATACCTTTCCAATGAAAGGGCTTTCATTGAAACTCACCCAGGCAAAAGTTTATTCCTTACTTAGAATCTCCAAACTCTTTTTGTTTGACATTTCATTTTTTAGTTAATTAATTCATTTGAACTACACTGGGTTTTTAACAAACCAGATATGGTTTTCCTTTGAATAGATAAGGCATGTAAATGAATAAAATTATATACAGTTAAAAATGTTTCCTCCCGTTGAAGATTCCTGTCTGCATTTCTAGAAGCAACTATTTTTAGCAGAGTCTCCCTTGAGATTTTTTGACATATTCAAGTATATATGAATACATTCTTGCTGAAATTGTTTTTTCCTTTCAGCAAATACCAAGTATCTACTATGTGCCAGGCACTGTGCTAACTGGAGGGGCAGGATGAGGAGAAAACAGGTATTTCATTGTCTTCACAAAGTTACATTGTGTGGGAGACATAGTCTATTCATTGATCAGGCACAGACTGAATGCCACTATCTGCTGAGTAGTGTGCCAACCACCAACCAACCAACCAACCAACCAAACAGTGAGCTCCTGTCCTTCTAGAGCTTTGTGTTGTGAGGGGTGGTGGCACGGCAACAGCCATGAGCAGGAAAGGTGTGAAGTATAAACAAATACCAGGTAAGTGGGCAAAAGCTTCTTGTTAATTGCACCACAATATCTTTTAGGCATTGTGTATCTCAAATCACACATGCTCCATCTAGAACCTAGTGGAAAAGAGAAGCCTTGGAGTCCTAGGCAAGAGCAGTGTTTCTGGAACCCTATGCCAGACACTGCATTAAGCACTTTGTATACCTGGTCTCATAGGATCTTCTCAGCAATATGAAGTGAATTCCACAATGTATATTTTACAAGTGAGAATGGTGGGACTTCTAAAGATGTCAGGAAAGATGCAATTTAAGCTCAAGTGTACCTTTTTGCAAAGCCTAGGCTCTTGTCTGTCATGCTTCTCGTAGTTTCTGAGCATCAAGTGAATACCAGGTGATTGTGATATACACACAACTTCCTCCTTTCCCTGTGGAGAATCTACACCAGTAAATGTGTTGACTTAGCCTCCCATCAGATTTTCATTTCCTCAAAATGGAGAGGAAAATGCACCAGTCTGCGCTGTATTTCACAAGCTCTACAGCCTTGGATAAGTCATTTTACCTTGTGGATCACAGGGTAGAGATTATGAGGGTCTGTGAAATATAGAGGTTGATAGGGGTCACTTCCAGATCCTTAATGGGATTTGGTGCTATTTTCACTGGCCCTCAAGTGCCAATGTAATGATATTATAGGGCAAAGACTTCAATCCCTCTCTCACAAATGACACAAGACAAGCTCAGTACGTCTGTTGACTTTCAAAATAATTTGAGGAATGGATCTCCAGTGACATGTTAGATGCCTTCTTGACCTTTGCTTTCTGCTCAAAGTTCTGAATACCAGCCCTCCCTCTCCTGATTTTCTCAATAAAGTGAAATGAGCCTTAGTTAAGTGAATGAGTACCCATTTAATATATGTGATTTAATTAAGTAATAAAGAACCAGGAACTGAAGATAACTCTTAGTTAAAACTGGGAAAGAGCCCTCAAATTAATGGGTTGTTGCAGGTATGTAATAATCTGAGAACTTTGCTCCTATGGATTTCATGCTTGGGAGAGCAGCCCCATGATGTCCTGCCAGCCACAAAAAGAGAATCTAACCAGGCCATAAAGCACAGAGAGGTTGGTTTGACCTAGGAAAGAAGAGACTGAGACATGGCCAGTAGATGATGAGTCTCCTGCTTTGTGCTCATCCCGTTTCACAGCACCTTTAGAGACTGAGAGAGCAGATCTGATCGGCTGTAAAGCAAAGTCTTCATTTGGAGCCCGTAGTGGCAAGGGGGTGGGAAGTTGAAGAACTCCGGTTTTCAGGTAACTGTTTCTCTTCTTTCCTTCACTCTGTTTTTGTCTCTCTCTTGTTCCTTCCCTCACTGCCTTTCCTTCATTCTTCCTTTAAAAATTTTGATTATAAAAGTAGCAAATACATAAAGGAGCCAAACTGAATATAATTGGGAGAGGCATAAAATAGAAGCCTTTGATCTCCACTCTTTCTTTCTTTTTCTTCTCCTTTTCTTCTTTATTTCAATGTTACAAACTAATGAGAGCAAAAAGAATTATTGAGAGCAATGGATGCCAATTGTAGGATAATGAAACAATACAGAATCATTGGAAATTTAAAAGATATTTATTTAATTCTCTTTCATCCTTCCCATCTCTTTCTTCATCTTCTTTCCCATTTCCCTCCTTTCCCCATCTTCCTTCAATTTATAAAAAATAGACACATTTTGAAAATATCTAAATCTTTACAAATATGTAAATCACATAATCATTGTAAATGGATCAAGTGGTATAGTTTGGAATGCTATATACAGGAAAAGCCCTCAGCTTGCACTTGCTGCTTCAGCTCACCTTTCCATTCCTGGTATAAACTATTTTACTCATATTAATGGCTACCTAGTATTCTGCTGGTAAATGACTCATGACTTATTTATTGAATGCCAGGTAAGTAAGTTTCTGAAATATATCTTGGGATTTTTATAAAAGTTTTGAAAGAGTGAAACAAAGATAAAAATTAGATTGTTATTGCAAATTCCATTTTACAGGCAGTGATCATTTCCATGTCTATAGCACTTTATACTTTGAAAATTGTCTTTGAACTATCATCTCATTTGATCTGCTTCTAGGGCAGCTCTGGGAAATAGGAAGATTGTTATCTCAATTTTTACACATAAGGAAACTGAGGCCCAGGCAAATGAAAGAACAGAAATACACATGTTCTCATGGCTAGTGAGAGTTCTCAGTGTTCTAGAGTTCTCTTAGAACACTATAAATTTAAGTCGCATTTAATGCTGCCAATCATGGGAGATTTAGCTGGGCCACTTAGAGCACTATAAATTTAAGTTGCATTTAATGCTGCCAATCATGAGAGATTTAGCCATCTCCTTAATTTTTGTGCTTGTGGTTTAGAAAATCCATCCAGGTCATACAAATTCCCCTATTATTTTAATGGGAATGACAGTGGAACACTTGTTAAATAGGAAGCGCTTGATTAATGGCTGGTGCTCACAGCAAGCCGGTCACATTTGATTTCCTAATTGGATTCAACTTACATTAACTGCAACGTGAGACTTTTCATTCAAAATTGCACTTGAAAATTGAAAACAAAACAAAACAAGAAAACGATCATGCTGCTTTATCCTATAAGAAAAGAGATGCTTAAATCACTAGTAAATCTTTCAGAAGTATATTTTATTTAAAATCAGAAAATGCCCATTAACACCCTGCTGCCCAGTGTCCATTTTGCTTGGAGAAAAGGGATATTTTCAAAGTGTTTCCCAAATATAAGGCTTTACTTGCAATTAATTAAGGGAAGAAGCTGGATGACTGTAATGAGATGTGGTCAGGTTTCTCTAAACAGAACAGCTTTAAAAATAGGAATGAGTTGATGAGTTACTTTGGTTAATAAGATGTTGCACAGTGTTCCTTCAATCCTGATTTGATTATTACCCCATGTTTGCATTTGTGGAAATATCACATTGTACCCTACAAATATGTACAATTATTATGTGTTGATTAAAAAACTAAAAAGGTAAAGTTTAGACTCACTAAAACTGCAAGTAGCTGGGCTAAACTTATGTAAGTTAAAGTTTGAACTCATGAAATTTTTGGAATACCACATTTGATGTCTGTCTTTCATGCTGGGCTAACTGCTCCATGAGGTTTCTGCCTTGTCTTCCCAATGCTTCCTTCCCCATGAGTCAGACAGTGTCTGGTACATACTAGGAGTCCAGTAGCATTTACTGAGTATACACATAAATGTATCATTGATGTTGCAGCCAGACTGGGTAACTCCGGCAGACAGCTGATATAGGATTGCCTGACCTGGCTTTAAGCAACCAGCAGAAAACTCAAGAGTAATGTGAAGAGGAAATGTGATCAAAGGGAGCTTTGAAAAGTTTGTGGAAAGTGGAATTAAAACATTAATTTGTTTAGGTTCAATTTAAATTATTCATAATTATCCCCATATTTTTGCATTTCTGTGAACCTTTTTAAAAAGATTTATTTATTTGAAAGGCATATCTATCATCTATTATCTATCTATCTATCTATCTATCTATCTATCTATCTATCTATCTATATCGAAAGAGAGAGAGAGAGCAGAAAGTTCTTTCATCTGCAGTTTACTCCTCAAATGGCTGCAATGGTCAGAGTTGGCCAGACTGGAGCCAGGAGCCAGGAGCTTCATCCGTCTTTCTCAAGTTATGCATCCAGCTTTGCTGCTCCCTCAGGCATATTAGCATAGAACTGGATTGGAAGTGGAGCAGCCAGGACTTGAACTAGTGTCAATATGGATGCCAGCTTTGCATGTGGTTACTTAATATACTATGCTACAATACTGGCTCCTCTCCAAACTTGTTGAGGTACACTTGTATACATGGTTTTGAAATGTTTTTCACAAATTTAAGTTTACCTTTTAACTACATTTTATATGAACGTTTGGAAATAATTTTTACACTCAAATTGTTCTGCATCTGACTTGGACATATTTTGGAATTTTTTTTTTTTTTTGACACAGATGGAGACAATGGAACGGCATGTCACATGTCAGAGCCTTTATGGACTGATTCTCATGTTGAATTTTTTCTGTCTCCTAGGTAAGAAAATGTATTTTTATTTTATAAATTTTATTTTATTTTATTTTCAATGTCTCAAAAATAAGCTTTTTGAAGAATATTACTAGTAGGGATTCGCTGGGCTGGTTCTCAGTAGCCTCTGTTTATTATGAAGTAGGAAAAGCTCCAGCAAACAATTTTCAGTATTATTTTGATGGTTAGCTGACTGACTTGAACTTGAACTACTCTACTGATTTGGCCATTTCTTTCTGCAACTCTGAAAAGACCTTTTGCACACCTGACAGAGGACTTGGATTTTGTGCCTTTTTCCTGTCATACAGAGTGCTGTATTGATACCATTATGATATATTTCTTTTTTGAGGTCAATTATTTACTTGAAAGGCAAGGTTAGAGACAGACAAAAGAGGGATCTGCTGGATCACTTCCCAACTGGCCTCAATTCATGGGGCTGGGCCCATCCAAACAAGAGCCAAGAGCTTCTTCTGGGTCTCCCACATGGGTGCAGGGGCCAAGGACCTGGCCACCCTCTGCTGCATTCCCAGGCACGTTAGCATGGAGCAGGATCAGTAGAAGAGCAGCTGGGACTCAAATTGGTACTCGTGTGGGATGTTGGTGCTGTAGATGAAGGCCTAATCAACTACACCACAGCACCATGATATCCTCTTTCTGTCTCCATCATAACAACATTGGCAAGGATCATAGAATACAGAGGGAGAGCTGCTAACTGATTCATAACAGCAACCAGCCATACATTCTGGAAAGACCCAGATTTTGCCTAGATTCTGTGATAAGGATGGAGACAGATTCTTTGTTTTTGTATCACAGGGAACAGAAGACAGCTCACTGAAGTACTTAATTATCTGGAGATTTAAAGAGAAGCTTGTCTTCAAGAACTGTAGTGTTGCCCATATTAAACTCAATTTGCTCATTGAATATATCTGTCTTTGATTAAAAGGTCTTACATGTGAATGAGCTGTAATTTTTGATGAAATTGACCTGGGGTTTAATTGGACTATTCCTCTGATTTGAGAGCTAATCTGGAAAAATGCTAAGTCACCAAAGTCATCCATAACAGAGTTCTCACTATGTTCAGGCCTGATCAGAAACCATGATTCTTACAATACTGGTTGAAGCAGGGTCTTATAGGGCACACTAGCATCTCTGTAACCTGGCCTCACCTACCTGCTGAGATGCTGATTTATCTTTCCCTTGCCTGTTTCCTCAAAGGCAGGAAGCTGTTTTCTCTATCTCTTGATCAAAAACATCCAATGTAAATATTAACACAGAGGTTAGGAACTCAGTACACTGCATATGCTGATTTAATACATCAACACAATTTGAAATTATAAATTGAACATGTGTGGTGGATGATGTATATGACACAAGTCTAATGGAGTTTTTTATATGTGTATGCATGTGTGTGTGAAGGGTCAGAATACAGAACAGAGTGACATAAGAATTGAAGGATATAGGGGTTTAGCATAGTTGTAGGGTAAAGAAGAGTGTGTAATACGTTAAAGTTTTGATGGGTTTGTGAGGAATCTTTGGTCATAAAAATTATATTACATAATTACATATATTACATTTTAAATCAGCAGAGGTTACTTTAAAGCAATTACAAGATTTTCCAGACTGGTTAAGGTTCATATTGTGAGTCAAGGCAAAAATTCTTTTAGATTATAGAACAATTAACAATTAAGCATAATTGTTATTCAGTTGGTGAGAAACTCATCACTTTCTTCCTGGAAATAGATCATTTTCTCCTTGAAAGAGTGGTATAACTAACGTTCAGTCCCCTTCAGGCTCCAGATGAGTCACCACACTCCCAACTGTAGGGGTCACTGTGGGGGAGAGAGTAACGCCAGATCAGATCAAGCAGGGCTGACTCAGAAATGCCCCAACTGTTTAGCTCTACCTTCAGACCAGAGAAGGTCTCCCCAAGAAGCCGTTGAACTTATCTGGACAATAAGATGCTGGACTTTTTGCTAGGTATATGCTTGCAATGAAGGAATCTCAACTGAACCTGAATTGTGGTTATGCAGCAAGGTGGAGGAATCCACCATGGGGGGAGGGTTGGGGGAGGGGTGGGGGGAATCCCAGTGCCTATAAAACTGCATCACATAATACAATGTTATTAACAATTAAAAAAAAAAGAAATGCCCCAACTGGATAGAACTAGCACGAGAAGGAAAACCATGGCCACAGAGGAACACCAAAGGAGAAATCAATCTGTCATCGCACCCAAGGGACCAGAGCAAAGCCATCAAGAACAGATGAAAACTGGGCTCAGGAACTGAGTAGCTGTTGAATGGAGCAGGAGGTAAAAAAATAAAGTAGAAACAAGTAGAGCGAGCCTAGGACTTAGTTCCGGGTAGAAACTTAATTTCCTCGTTCTCTGTCTTAACCTGCTTGGGCCACCACATAGGGAAGTGCCACAGACTGGGTGGCTTAAACAATAGGCATTGATTTATCACGGAGAGGCAGGGAGGTCCAAGATTAAAGTGCCAGTTGATTCCTGATGAGTACCCTCATTTTTCTATGAATAGTAGATGGGAGAGGGAGAGAGGAAGGGAAGGGGAAAGGTAAAGAGGAAAAGAAAGAGAAGGATAAAATGGCTTTCTTCCCCTTATTATAAGAGCACTAAATCTCATAATGGGGTCTCCACCTTTATAACTTCATGTAACCCTGATTATCTGCTAAAGTCCACACCTCCTAATACCATCATAGTAAGAATCAGAGGGCCAATATATTAACTTTGGGAAGAGGTATAATTAGTCCATACCATATTCCTTACTCGTGCATGAATGCTGCCTAATAGTTGGCTGAGTCTGGCTTCATGTAACAGAGCTAGAATAATTGTGCTAGAGTCTCTTCCATAACATAATGCATATGTGCACATGCGCACACACATGCATGCATACATCATATACCAAGTGAAGTAGGACTGGTTTTGCTAGGAAAAAGAGTGTCACACGTTTCTGGACATTCTTGACATAGGAGGCTGGAGTATTGTGACATATAATCCTAGCGGTTCTGAAGCAGCCTCTGAAGTGAGTTCCTAGAGTTCCCACTTTGTTCAGAAGCTCTTTCATATGCAGGGAAAACTTGATCAGTAATCTTTTTGACAAAGGCGATGACTCAGAAGCCACACCAGGAAATCTGTCCTTATACTATAGAGATCTGTCTGCTCAGGGTCAGTCTGGACACCCTAATAATGGAGCTATAAAAATTATCTCAGAGGTATGTGTAGCCAGAGGGCCAGGAAAAACCTCATTTTTCTTTCTGAGGAAGTAATTTTTGAGGGATGAACCTTAAGCAGAAATTCCAAATATTTGAATTAACTCTACAACGGAACTGTTCAATATGGAAATGCCTCATACTCCACAGGATGCCTTAATTCACAGAAGTAAAATAAAGGGGTCAGTACAATCTTGCAATAGGTTAAGCCCACATCTACGGTGTTGGCATCCCATGTGGCTGTTGGTTGGAATTCCAGCTGCTCTACTTTTGATCCAGTTCCCTGCTAGTGTGCCTGGGCAAGTAAAGGAGGATGGCCCAAATCCTTGGGCTCTAGAACCCATGTAGGAGACCAAGATGAAACTCCTGGCTCCTGGACTGAAAACTAGCCCAGCTCTGGCTGTTGTGGCCATTTGGGAAGAGAACCAGAGGATGAAAGATCTTTCTTTCTTTCTTTCTTTCTTTCTTTCTTTCTTTCTTTCTTTCTTTCTTTCTTTCTTTCTTTCTTTCTTTCTTTCTTTCTTTCTTTCTTTCTTTCTTTCTTCTTTCTTTCTTTCTTTCTTTCTTTCTTTCTTTCTTTCTTTCTTTCTTTCTTTCTTTCTTTCTTCTTCTTCCTTCTTCTTATTCTTCTTTCTCTTCCTCTTCTTTCTTCTCCCTCTCCTTTTTCTTTCAAATAGTAATAAATACATCTTTACAAAAATAAAGAAGAAATCCAGTCCTTAGTCACACAAACCATATTTGAGGTGTTTAGCATACATGAAGTGAATACATGAAGTGTCTGGTTGTCTTCATTGGCCTGGTTGTTACCATAATGGGAAGTTCAGATGTATATTAGAGGTCTTAAAAATTTTGTATTTTGTAGAATACATATTGTGAAAAACAACCTGTATGTGGATTTCAAACCTTTTAGCACCAAATACACTTACGTTTTAATTTCCATTTTGAATTTTTTTTGAGCAACCTCATAGAAAATTTTCATTACCACAGAATGTTTCTGCATAGTGATATTCTAGAAGTTTATGGTAATTGGCTCTTTGAGAAGACTTTTTAAAATGATTATTGTAAAGGCAGATTTACAGAGAGAAGGGGAGATAGAGAAAGAGAGATCTTCCATTGACTGATTCTCTTCCTAAAAGGCTGTAGCAGCTGGAGTTAGGCTGATCTGAAGCCAGCAGTCATGAACTTCTTCTGGGTCTCCCATGTGGGTCTAGGGTCCCGAGGACTTGAGCCATCCTTTGCTGCTTTCCCAGGCCATAAGCAGGGGGCTGGATGGGAAGTGGAGCAGCCAAAACATGAACAAGTGCCCATATGGGATGCCCGTGCGCAGGTGTAGGATTAGTCCATTTGGCCATTGCTCTGGCACCTGAGAAAAGACATTTTTATAAACCAGATTGAAATATGGTTTACATTGCCATAAATCTCCATCACTTAAAGTATACAGTTAAGTAGTGTAATGTCTTTGCAGAGTTGTGAAACTATCACTAATTTCAGTACATTTTCATCACTTTCTCTGCAAAACAAAACAAAACAAAAGCAAAAACAACAACAAAACAAAACAACCATATTCTGCTTTCCTAGCCCACCCAACCCTGTACCTCAGCCTTAAGCAATCACTACTTTTTGTATGTATAAGCCTGTTCAGGAAATTTATATAAATGGAATCATGCGATGTGGTCTTTGTGTCTGGCTTCTTTCTCTTAAGATAATGTTTTATAGTTTACTCTAGTGTAGCAGGTGTTAGTACTTCATTTCTTTTCATTGCTGAACAATGTTAAATTATATGAGTAGACCTACCCTTCTTTTTTTCAAGATTTGATGGATATTTGAGTTGTTTCCTTTATGCTATTATTAATTGTGTTACTGTCAATACTTCTGTGCAAGCTTTTACATGGGAATATGCTTTAATTTCTTTGTGGAATATAGAAGTGAGATCACTAACTCATATGGTAGCTTTATGATTGACATTCTGAGAAGTGCACAGATGACTTTCCTGAGAACCTGCATTGTTTCATGTCGATAGCAATGGTGTATGAAGGTTTCTGATTTTGCCACATCCATGCCCCACACAGTATTTTCTATCGTTTTGGTGATAGTCATCATAGTGGGCATGAAGTGATAGCTCACTGTGATTTTTAGTTGTGTTGTATTCTAACTAATGATGTTGCACATCTCTCCATGTGCAAGAACAGACATTTTGTTTGGTGATACTTAGATCTCTTGGCTGAAAATTACATCTGCCAGACTCTGACACATACATCCCTTTCCTTTAATTACTGTTTTTCAAATACATATTTCCTTAGTTGACATAACTGTGGTCAACTAAGCAAAAAGACACACCAGAAAGCCTCATATGGCAATGTGCTTTTGAAGGACTACCTGTCTGTTAGGTGGGTGACCCACACCTTATATTCTGTCTCAGGTCAGTAGATTGTAGAATTTTCATTAATTCATCATGAAAGTGTTGATGGGGAATTGCATACATTGAAGAGTAGGTCTGGAATGCAGTTGCTCTTAGTATTCATCTTTCAAATATAAATGGGCTTCTGAGTTCACTGGCTTGAGTATTTAATTACCTATGCACTTTGGAGTTAGTCTAGAAGGCCATAGCTCATGCAAGCTGTTAGCATCACAAGACAGAGACCTTGTTAGGGAGGCAGAAGGCCTTGTAATTTCACCAATGAGTGATAATCTGTAGTCTTCCCCCTTCTGAAAATGGATCCTCTTTAACCCAATTACCAAGCATAGGAGTTATCAGGTATCCTCTTTCTTCCATTCTTCACAATCAACCCATTGGGACTAGTTCATACCACTTTTAACATATATGCCAAATCTAACCATTTGTTCAGTTCTTTTCTTTCATTTTCTTACCATCTGTACTACCTGTACTATGTAGTTTCCTAAATGGAATCCCTGCTGTCACTCTTGTTCTGCTAGTCTATGCCCAATGTGGCAGCCAGAATGACTCTTTAAGATGTCAAGTAAGCTCGTGTCACATTTTACTCAAAATCTGTCAATAAATTTCCATTACAATTAGAACACAATTCAACTCTTAATAATAAGAACCCCAAAGCACTGCATCATAAAGTCCTTTACTGCCTCCTGGCATTTCTTCTACTCACTCCAGATATGCCGATTTCCAGCTACTCCTTGAACATGCCAGGGATAGTCCCATAAGAAGCCTGTGCATGAGCGATCACCCATATCTTATGTCACACCTTTCTTTAATCAGGCTGTTTTTTTCGTCCCTAGGACTAAGCTACACTGGCTTTGTTCCAGAGGCTTCTCTAACTGTACTATATAATGTGGGCATTCCTATCCTCCTCTTCCTTATCTTCCCATTAACGTCAGCCAGTTAATTTCTTTGAGTACTTTTCATAATTTATAATTCTCTTTTTTTTTTGTTTGCTGACTGCATTTCTCTCTGAAATGTCAGCTGACAAGGTCACAGACCTTGTGTATCTTATGAACTCTATTATTGTACTCAGACAGTGGTTCATAATCAGTGCTTAAAGACCATTATTGCTGATTTTCTACAATTCTTCCCATTTTATGAGTAAGGATGAACACTTCATTGGTTAGGAGAATGAGCCTTGAGTCCAATATTTGAAGGGATAAGTACATTACCCATATAAGGGTAAATCCTCCTCTTTCTATTCCAGGAAGAACTCTTGGAAGAACTTATGTTTGCTCTGCATCCTAGAGGAAGATATGTAATGGATAACTTTGAATGAGGACTGGTGAAAGACTGAGGCTCATGCTTGCATAACTATATATATTTCAGATGTGGGTTGTCTGAGAATTAGCCTAATTATTCACAAAAACCAGTGGGAAGTGTGGGTGGCAGATGACAACCCTAGTTCTATGTGACTATCCATATTATTTCAAGGGTGATGTGAAAAATCAAGCTCTTGGGCCCGGCAGCGTGGCCTAGCTGCTAAAGTCCTCGCCTTGAATACGCCAGAATCCCATATGGGCGCCGGTTCTAATCCTGGCAGCTCCACTTCCCTTCCAGCTCCCTGTTTGTGGCCTGGGAAAGCAGTCGAAGACAGCCCAAGGCTTTGGGACCCTGCACCCGTGTGGGATACCCAGAAGAGGCTCCTGGATCCTGGCTTTGGATCGGCATAGCATCAGCTGTTGCACTCACTTGGGGAGTGAATCATCAGATGGAAGATCTTCCTCTCTGTCTCTCCTCCTTTCTGTATATCTGACTTTCCAATAAATAAATAAATCTTTAAAAAAAAAAGGTTGTGGAAAAAAATTGAAAGTTCAGTTTATTTGGTGTGAATAGTCAAAATCCATGCATACAAGGAGTATTAAAAAATTCATGAATGATATGCACTATGAAAAAAGTATATGTGGATTTCACACATTTAATTTGATTTTCCCATTAGCTTTCTAAAGTAATTTTATATCATAATTATATTTTTGTGACTCTGATTTCACATAATGTTAAGCCTTGAAAATCTCTCCATGGCTTTGTAGATCTACCTTGTTTTAATATTATATTATATAGAAGTGGTAATTTTCATAACCAGACAGTTATTCATATGCATACATATTTTTCAATCTTTCTTATTAGAAACAATGCTCCAATAAATATCCTTGTACTTGGATTTTTGTATACATGTTTGTCTAATTGTTAGAAATGGAATTTATGGGTCAAAAATGAACACACAATTAAAATTGTCATAGAAACGAGTGAATTGTTCTTCCCAAAATAATACTTAATTGACACTCTCACCGTAAGTATGTGAATGAGCTTGCTGAAACTGCGTATTCTGACCACCAAAATTTTATTAATCTAGTAGACACAAATGGTATTACTATTGTTGCATTTTTTTGCTTATAAAGTATGAGATGGCAACTTTCATATTACTGGCCTTTATATTTCTGATTTTGTTAATTGCTCATTTCTATCCTTGGGCAACTGGCTCTATGTTAGCATATTGTAGAGAGGAGAGGCCCTTGTAGAACCTGTAATAATAAGATACATTGTCTTTTGGAGATAAATAAGTTCTGGAAATTTATGTTTGCCATAAAACCTGTTCTTAAATGTATTTTACATCATTTTGGAGGGCTGAATTAAAACGTCATGGTAACCAACAATAGTTAAAGCTTGGGTTTCATAGCACTTATCATGTCGTGGGATTAACTATTGATTTATAAACCACACAAAAGATGATAAGCTGATATAATTGCAAAACTCAGGAGCAGAAATAAGCATCAATTTAGCCACCATGGCCAGTTCAAAAATAACTTCCTGGCAGGTGTGCACATGAGTTCCTTCATATGGTTGTGCATATTTGTGTGTACTGACGAGTCTGCATATGAGTGTGTGGGTGGGCATGTGTCTTTGCTTGTTTGCTTTTGGAAGATGAGCAGTAGAATAATGGAGAAGGCACTTTATGATCATACAATCTCTGGGAACTTTCATTTGGAGACTATCTCTTAGAAAAAGGGAAGCATTTCATATATAATTTCTTTGGTATTTTCATCTCCTCTTTTCCAAATGTGGACAGATACACTTTCACTAAAAAGAAAGAAGCTGGATTTTTACAGAAGAAGAGAGAAATAATGTAAGCCTGATCAACATTATTTCTGAATTCAGACGATTCACAGCATGCATTGACTTGGTATTAATGGAGTATCAGTCAAGTTATTGGTTGGCCTTCTCCTATGTTACTAATAATACTCACTTGGGCAAAGACATAGATCTTGGACATGTGGGAGACCATCAGAAGCTAATATTATACATCTTCAGCAAGACCTTTTATATCTATTACCAGTTGACTCCATTTCAATGGCACACAATATGCTTGATATGGGATGGTGTGAAGGGCAGATTAAAGCTGCTTTTCACTTGTTCCAGGATCCAATCCTGGATCATACTTGACCTTTGGTTATCATGTTTCTTTAGATTTGAATCTGAAATAGATCCTCAGCCTTTTTTCATCCTGCACAACCCAGATATTTTTAATGTACAGTCAAGTTCCTGTTTACAATGTCCCTCCATATGTGCTGTTTTTTTTTCCCCCCTTAGTGCGTCACATCAGTGAACAGATTCAGGGTGGAAACTTGTCCCTTATTCTTGCAGATAACTTTGAGTATTTGAGTCTGGAGGTCTAGGCCTGATTTTTTCCATTCCTTTAATTTTTGGGGAGGTGTTTTCATGTTATATGAATGTTTTCTTCTCAGATTTTCACCAAAAAGTTTTACATGTATTAATGTCAAAGTGATTTTTTTAAAAAAACTGTTATCTTTCTACATGTGTTGGTAACATTTTTATTTTTAATTACATTAATTTATTATTCCATGATACAGTTCCACAGGCTCCAGGATTTCCCTTTCCCCTACCCTTAAGTCCCCCCCCCATTGATTTTCCGCATAGCATCACAATAGCATAGTCCTTCACAACCAGTCATAAGTCCATTATTCTGCTATTTAAGTGTTTACTTACATTGTAGGTATAGACAATGACATTTCATTGTAAGGAATTACTTTCTTGCACATTCATTCATTCATTTGTGGGTTTACTCATATGACCATGAACTCATGGATTCTACTTATATTCAACAGATTATAATCTGGTGAAATTGGGTCCAGATTCTGTCAGTGGAGGCCATCTAATCACACTCCTATATCCTTTTGACATATTTCCAATATTCTTTGAGCATTTCCTTACTTTCTCCCACAAGATGCTTCAGGTTCATCTTGTACTTTCTCTTAGTCCAAGAATGAACCATTTTATTAAGGAGCCCTGGTTCCTTTTAGCACGGCATGGTATTTACAAATGAAATCATTTTTTTCATATTAGAACATTGTTTTTATTAGAGAACCATTTGAGATGAAAGTTTTTGCAAGAAAATTGGCTTCTCGAGATTACTTACATAGGTTTCTCGCTTTATCTTGTTATGAGAAGGAACTATAGGATTGTTTTTTTTCTGCACAACACCACTCTTCCCTTAATTCCAAGCTTCTCCACCGTCATCAGCAGCAACTGTCCTGTAGCATGGGTATGGTGTGGCAATAGCATCAAGATAGGTTTCCTTTCTCATCTCCTGGAATATTTGTTTTTTCTTAGAAGGTCTTATTACTGTTCTTAAATTTTCTTGTGCAGGTGATTAGGGTGTAAGTGAGAGCCACTTCCATGCCTTGGAGGGCTCTCACAGACTACAGGGGTATGTCCTCACCAATAGATCAATGTTTGAGTTCATGTCAGAGCTGCATCACAGAGGACTTTTGAGTCTTTGTGGTCAGAACAATGCAAAGTAATCAGGAAGTGAGTTCCTGGTGTTGCTCCCTACAAGAATTTGAGGTTTTTTTTCTGATGTCTTGAAAGTAAAAGATAGTAGTTATAGCTAGCTGTAATTGCAAACTTTAGCTAGGAACTAGGAGGCTAAATTTGAATAGCTCACCAAAAGAAGGCAGAAGAAACTTCATCTTTAATCTAAGGAATCAAAAGTATGGTCCTATTAAATCCATGGGCTTAGCAGTGATCTTTGAAAATCTCATCTGGCTAGCTAATGGCCATGGCCCTCCCTTCCACTTTGCTGGTAAATAGTTAAATCTAGCTGATGTGTTAAATAGCTAGACAACCCTTACTTATTTTTCTCTTTTGAACATTTTCAGTGTGTGGTCCAACTAGTTGGTCTGATTGACTTCTTGTGGGAATAATACATATAACAATCCAATGCAACAGACAAAATACAACCTAGAATGGAAATTGAAATAGCAAGGGAGAGAATGTTCTCTGTTCTATTCAGATCTCTTTAAGTGTTCTTTCTAAATCTCAGACCAGGATTTCATAACCTGAGGGCCAGAATGGACTGAAAGAATTGACAAAGCCTTTAAAATTGTGTGTACAGCTTAAAAAAATGAAGAGGATTTCTTTCTGAGGATAGTCTATAGTTTTCATCACAGTATGATAGTTATCTCCTTTAACTAAATTCTTGCTGTGTGCTAGACATTTTATAAATGAGAAGTGACTCAGGGCTTAAGTTGATAGCCTATAGTTAGTTACCAATAAAATAAGCAGTGGACTTTTTTTCCCAGATTATACATCCCATGTCGTCTTCATCTCCACACAACTCAGGAGTATTTCAAAATGATCTGTGACTCCAATGGGTTGTAAGCCACTGTCTTAGAAGCTTCCTTGGAAGGGAATTTCTAGTGGCAGTAACCCATCTGGGGAAATGAGGCTATCAACTGCTTGTTGCTAACCTTACCACAGAAGGATCTGTGATACCATGGGATTTGCCCTACTTTTGTTTGGGCTGTATAATATCTAGGAAAAGGCAGAAACATGAATACATGTGAATGATTACAACATGTCTAGCTTTAGCTTTTGCCTAATCAATTGGTATTTATTGTCCAGAGGATGATTACGACCTTTAAAAATAAATTTTAATGAACACATTGCTAGGTTACTAATCTCAGTAACCCTATTTACAGATGAATTATAGATATACGAGAACAAGGCTTTTGGGGGAACAGCCACTGAAAAACATGACCCATATATTGGCTTAATAACTAAGTATTCACTGTAGCTGAAGGTGTCTTAGGTATACTTAAAAAGCACAGTGATGGTAACCGTAAAGTTCTTAGTCATTAGAAATTTAGTTTAGAATTTGTTTTTATGCTTTTTTCCAGTTATTTACTCTTGTGAATTTAGATGGATTTAAACCATACAAAAGTATGTGAAGTATAAATTAAGACCTATATCTACACTGTCCTCCCCATAGAAGTACTCATGTTTAAAAGTTTTCTTTTTCCTATGGGCTTATGATATGTGTGTGTGTGTGTGTGTGTGTGTGTGTGTGTGTGTGTGTGTGTGTGTGTATACATGACTGTGTATGGTTCAGCAAAGCAGTAATAATATATATACAAACAGATATTGTTCTAAATTTTAATTTGTTTCAACTTAATGTTATCATGGATAGATAGGTACATTTAGGTATGGTTTCAATGATGCCTATATTGCATTATGTCGATGTAATATAATTTATCTAACCCACCATTAACGGGCATTTAAGTTGCTTTCAATTGCTGCAGTTACAAATAATACTATAATAAATTCCTTTATCTTAATATTGGCTTTCAATTTCATAGGAGACTTCTTTAAGAGCAGAATTTACCAATAACTTATTAATACATCAAAATGATTTTTCTGTTTAAGTAGAATTAATATATAAAATAATATATATAGCAAAAATGTTTAAAGAAATGGTATGTAAATCAAAAGGAAGAGTATCCTTTTACTTTAATTTTTCACCCCAAGCATCCTCCGCAAAAGTAATGATTATTAGCAATTTCTTATATCCTGGAAGAAACAATTTGTAATTTTGTGTGATTGTAATTTTTAATTTTTATTTCATAGCTGGAATAATTATATTATTATATATAATTTCATACAATAAAGCAGCAATCTGATTCTTTTGGGAGGGGAGTGAGTAAGGGTATAATGTAATTTATTCAAGAAATCCCATTTGAAGGACTTCGGAGTGGTTTCCAGTTTTGTGTTGTGACAGACATCTACCACACGTTAAAAGGAATGAATGGTGATGTAAATGTCTTAAATCAATCACTAAGGCCTATGTTTCCTCTCTGAATGTGAGGAGTACAATTTTCAACAAAGGACTTGTTCTAATTTGCAAATGTATGAAGATGAAGAGTGTTCTAAATATAGGTGGATTAAAACTAGGTATACATTTTTTTTTAATTTAGTGGCTTTTTTTTTTTAAATTAAACTGTTAAAGAGAGAAAATATCTTGTACAAACTGGTTCACTCTCCAAAGGCCCAAAGCAAACAGGGCCAGACCAGCCTGAAGGTTTAAACTCAGAATTTCCTGAAGGTCTTCTGTCTTCAAGTATTTGGCAGCGCTACAAATACTTGAGAATTCTGCTGCCGCCAGGGGCATACATTAGGAGGAATCTGGAATTAGAAAAAAGTCCAGAACTAGGAACTCTAATCTGTACCAGAACAAAGGAGAACAAAGGGTTCCTGTGTCTATGGGATCATTGATTTTCTGGGGTTCATTAATTGACTTAATATTCCAAATGGTTAGAATTCCTCCAGAAACTAGCTACTGCAAAAATATTCAGACATGGACTGTATACTTTATGTGCTTTTTAAAGATCTCTTTTCAATTATCAGCTCTGATAGAAAGAATTCCATGGCTCTACTAGCTAAAAGACAATCTGGTCATGCCCTTGTACATCAATTTTCTGTGCTATTCTTGCTTTTCATAGTGAAATATAAGCATGAACTGCTCTGTGGTTTGCTCAAAGCCTGCTTATTGGTATTTTCACACACAGGGTGACATTCTTCTATAGAATCTAAGATGAAAGTTCTAGCCTCTCTCTCGATCACAGGGTTCATTTTTCATGTCCTTTCCTGGAAACTGAATGCAGACACCATTTTGAAAAATCTTTCCCCTCACCATCTTAAAGATACTCATTATACACTGTTTTTTAAACTCTACAGACAGATCCTTTTATGTCAGGTTCTGGTCACCATCATCTCTCAGAAATCTGATCAACATACTGAATTATATTTACAGAAGTCATGATTGAAAACAATATATATGATAAGTTGACTAGAACAACATAGACATTTAATATGAGGTGACTCACAACCAGAATTTGGTACTTTAGTAAGTGTTCTGCTTAATATTGTATTGGCAGGTACATCTGCAACAAATACTTCATAAGTATTCAGCTACTCTATACTTTTGTTCTCCAACTCCCAATGATTATAATAATGCAATTTTGTCTGCATTGGAAGAGCAAATGGTAATTAAGTTCACAGGCCCACTGTGAATTAACAAGGACTATCCCCTGCTTTACTGCATAGGGACAACAGTCCTCATGTAAATCACTTTGGAAGTGACCACTTGTTCACAAATGGGAGGCAGTAAATGTGGCCAACATGTCTGCATGCTCTCTTATGATGGAGGTTGAGCATACTGCTGCTGCTGTTTCCCCAGTACAAATGGAAATTTGATTATTGCTCAGCTTCCTGTACCGTGTGCACTCTGACCAATGCTATTTTAAATTGATCTTTATTGAAATAATTAGTTTTACATGCAGTCATAGATCCCTGGTA